CACGAGGCAGCCTGGCTAGAGTTGTGTTCATGCTGACCACCAATATTGTACAGTAACTCATCAGCCTAACTAGATCCCTTGGCCATTTTAATTGGAGACCAGTAGAGGAGAGCAGAAGTAAAGGAATTACAAAGACATAGGCGAGCCAAGCTCAACAGAACATGACACGCTGAGGGTTAGTAGAAGTAAATAGGCAGGCCCAGGTAGAATTATCAGAGACAGAATCTAGAGTCAGGAAGAGGCTTGCTTAGGGTTATTTCACAGGGAACACAGATCAGTAGTGAGCAGATTGGGGAGAAGTTAACTTGTACTCCTTCAACTGCTGTTCAGTAAACCTCCATCCACAAGACATTTATTTCTTCTCCTCACAGTGTGGCTTCACCCCTGTTCATGTGCCGCACCAGACTGCATGCTCCTGAGCCTCACCAGAGCCTCAGAAGAGCCGCTGGGAATGCAGGAGATGCTTTCTCTGGACTTGGGGTGTGCACCAGAGACATCCTCCTCCATCTTGTCTCGTCTGCAGCATCATCACCTGCATCCAAGATGTTCTTCCTCGAAGAAATGGCGAGTTCTTTGTAACAGTACCAAGCACTTTTCTCTCCAAGCACCAATTTGAACACAGGTAATTGTTCTTAACTGACAGTAGGGAGCCGAGGTGTGGGTTCTCCTGACGCTATACCTTTCTGTTTACAATTTCCAGGCATCTGCAAAGGTCTGAGAGGTCTCCTTCACTTTAAGTGTTTGCCTGCTTCACAATTAGTTAGGTATCAAGGACAATGTCCTGACATCCCTCTTCTTTACTGGCCCCAGTAGACAGGCCTGGGACTTGTGTCTCTGCTTCTGATACCTGGTACAAATATCACTGGTTTGAAATCTACCAGCCATCTTTCTCATTCAACTAACTACAGAACTAAGATGCTAACTAGTTCATTCTATGTAAGCCTGCTTGTAATAAACTGATGTTCAAGAAATCATACATTCATTAGAAGAAAGCTTGTCCAAGTCACAGGAGACTTTTGGGAGTTGAAATAATATAACAGAAAGTTGAAATCCAGTTCTTGATCTGGGTCTGATTATTGGTGGAATTACAAAGTATGTCAGCCTCTGTGCCTGAAATGAGGTCAGATGTTGAAAGGTTCAACCCAGTTACCTCTGTGACCCTGTGCATGGCGTGACTGCATTTCAAGACAAGCCCCCGAGACTCATTCCTGCTCACGTCTCATCCCCACTCCACCCACTGCCAGGTACAGGCAGGTAAAGGTACAGGCGCCTAAGGTTACACACCTGGGGATGGAGTTTACCCCTGTAGCTCTAATTACTTGTTGCTTGATTTTTTATTTTACACTACACGGAACCCTTTCTACATCATCACAGTAGGCTTCAAGATGTAGACAACAAAGATCTTATCAGTCTCAAGGCAGGTCCACATAGTTTTAATTTCAAATACGTGTTTCATAATTTCAAATTATGTTCAGTAAAGGAAACGTTCAGTGGCAGAATGGTTGTCTCCCATGCTCAAAAATGCTTAATGATCTACTGTTGTGTATGTCAAATTACAAGACGAGAGATTTGTATGCGAAAATGATTTTATTTAAATGGATGAATAACACAAAATCAGTTAAGCCACCAGATCTAAGTTGGTAAAAGTCTATAAATAGATTAAATAAAACAGACTCGAAACCGTCATTTTGTCTCTGCACTTCACTTCCATTGGCATGAGCTTGATATCACTAGAGAACGTTTGATATTTTGAAGTAGTAGTATGAAATAGAAAGTGGAAAAATAATACATACATATTATGAAATAATTAATAAAATTCTAAGTAACAAAATCATACTTATTTTCTTGTCCTTAGGAAGAAACATAATGTACACAGCGACATCAAGTTTATTTTTTAGGATCCCACTTTCTGGTAAGAAAGGATGCATGACTCCTCCCTGATACCTCACCAGGAGTTACTCTTGAGTGAAATATAAGGATTTGGCTTAAGTCCGTTGATACTTCTTTGACATGTTGCTCTCCACTCACTCACAATTACATGCTCTTATTGAAGAGATTGAGGTCAGCAACCAGTTTCCTTGTAGAATCCTTTGTCTTAATTTTGTCCTGTTTAAACCACCATCCTTCCTGCACACTTTTGGGAGTTACCTCTCTGAACCCTAAATCTCCACTGCCTACTCCTAAATCCGAACTTCTTGGTCTAAGCAAAACTTGCACCACCAATCACTGCTTTCTCTTCTGGCACCTGTCCACGCAGCGTTGCTCTGCTCTGCTCTAGCCTCCCAACCACTTGCAATTGCCCGAGTATCACTCACAGGTAGCATGAGTATCATTGCACAAGTAGCGCAGTTCCTCATCCCAACCGGCTACGTTGGGGCAGTTTTTATGCACCTGCTCACACTGTTCCTGATGTGTCATGTCCTGCCCCAAATCTCCCTGATAACACCCTATTTTTCTAAGTCTCATGACAGAACCCGGGTAATGTTGGCCCTATCAGGTAAAGCCAATGACTTCTTTGTGCCTTCTATCAGCTCTAAGGTGGTGTCTTAATCCTCTATGGAGAGAAGACCATGAACATTGAGGTAGAGGTCTGTGACATTCAGCTTTTCATCCATAACATCTGTGTAGAACCTGACCCTTGCTTATTTCTTGTTATTCCCAACAGACATTTACCCTCATTTAGGTCATTTTTAACAAAGAACAAGATAAGCAGCAAAATGCTGCATCAAACAGCACTTGATTATCATTCACAAGTCAACATTTAGACATGAAAAGGACTTGCAGAATCAGAGCATGAACCTTATCTAATGAAGACCACATTCATGGATTTTTCCATAGCCACCATCAGGAATGGAAGAGTCCTTTCTACCTACAGTGCCCTTCTGAGTACAACACAACAGAAACTCTCTTTCTCTCCTAAGAAGTTCAACAAATTCTAATGTTGTAGAACATTTAATAAACCTTTCTTTTAGTTCCTTCTTTCTGTTAGTGAAATTCATCAGTGCAGTAAGATCCTTCCAGCTATTTCTCAGCTAATGCTAGCATTATCTCCTTGAGTAGCTTCCTTTGGCCTTTCAGTAAGATTGAATTTCTTCTCTTGTAGTCCCATACCACTGTAAACACTCCAATATTGATAGCTAAAATATTAACTCAAGAACATGAAATTGTAACAGGCCAATGCATGGTATATAATGAGCATCAAACAAATGATGAATTGAATCTTATTTTAATGATAGGAGGTGAGTCAAGACTCATTATGTAATTCCAACCTTAAGTACTTCCTTGGCGTTTTATGAGTGATCGTTATCTTTGAATACAGATTTAACATCAGACAGTGGTTTTTGCTCCCTGCAATACTAAAGTCTGCAAAAAAGATGTTAATTATTTATGCGGACACCATCGTTAAAAAAATGAATTTATTTAAACAATTGCTACAAGGGTAATATACAGTAATGGAAAAACCACTAAAACAATGGAGTTCTCTGTGTTGCCTGTATGTATACAGACTTAGAATATGTTTAGTGATTGGATAGCCCCATAGAACACCTATATTCTATGGGGTTACCATTTCATGTTGTAATTTTTTAGAACATTTAGTTGAATAAACACAAAGCTTAAATTACTAAATTCCAATGAAACTTATAGGTAAATTACAGGTGATAAAACTAAAATTATACTAAAGTTCAGTTACACTAAAATATGCTCCTACCTTTGTTCTAATTAGAACACTGAGTTCTAACACTGACTGGCCCCACCCCCTCATACCACTCCTGTGACTCATTATTTCGTGGTTCTTGATAAGCTTATAAAGCAATTTTAATACGTGAAATTCAAGTCTAGCTTGTGGTTTGATTTTCAGATTTTGGTCATTTTGTGAAAGTACCAAAATGCTTGCTTCACACTACTGCACGTCAATTTTGGTATTGTTACAGCCCTGGATAGAGGGGGGATGGGGTGGGGCAAAGAATGAATACACCTGCCTGGGAGTACTAAGGCACTTACAAATGATTTCTAACAATTCTCCGTTCAGTTTCTTTGAGTTTTTTATACTGTTCTGATGGCCTTTTAAGGATAACAATTATATTTCCTGAGCAATGAAAAGGAGGAAATACATCTGAGAACTTTTCAAAAGTATACATTAGTAAGTGCTTTAAAGAAAAACCATCCAGTGACTAGATGCAAGTTATACCACAGGTACAAGGATAGACTGAAGAAGTAGACTTCACCTCTGCAAATGCTCTAAAAAGCCACACTGGTATGATAAATAATAATGCAATCAGGAGCAAATCAGTCTGGGCATATGTGGGCATATACAGATTTAACTGCACATGCACACTCCAAGTACACCTACTTACTTTAATCCTGTGTTCACATGCCTCCCACAATCATTTAAAGTAACCACATACAAGGGGAAAAATGTGTGCCAGGCTTCCTAGTAAGTAAATTCCAATCAGATTTTAAACTGATACTAAAATAGATACTTCTGTAGGAAGACACAGATTTCTATAGTTCTGGTCAAGTATTACACCTTAATCTTTCTCATTATGGTTTCAGATAATGAAAATAATTTTAAGCTATTGAGAATTATATATAAATCATTAAAAAACTAGATCATGGATTTTTTTTTTTCTTTTGGCCAATCATGAAACATGTTTTTGTCTGAAAGAGGGAACTTCTTTCAGTATAATTTTTCAATATAACAGGATACATTTAAAATAAAATTTTAGTAATCTCATTTGCTAATAATCTGATATTCAAATTCAAGCCCAAGAAAGAGTAGCAATTACAGGAGAAAAGAAAAACACACATAATCTCCTGTGGCATCATCCTAGGGGCTGGTTGTGTGTAATGATGAATTTTATCACCAGTTCTCCTGTTCCCAGGGTTGCCACACTGCTATAAAATGGAACTGCCTGCGAGGACTCAGAATGTCTTTTTTCTTGGGCTTACATAGTAAGCACTTGGCGTGATTCTTAATCACATTTTATCTGGAACACAGTGTAACAGGTCACATTTTTCTCGACAATGCTTATACTGATTTGTGCACTATAAATAGAAACATATATACACAGAGAATCCACACACTGACACAGGAATATGAAGTTACCCAGCCATCCATAAGCAGAATGGAATAAAAATCGCAGGAAGTGTTGTATAGGATGCCAGGCCCAGACAGACGATAGACGCCAGTCCCAAGACTGCGGAAGCAAGAACACTTCTCTGGTCACGAATAATTATCTTCACATTCTCACAAAACTGTAAAATCAAATTTTAGAATATTAGAAAACACAGGCAAACCTAAGAGAGTCGTCGACACCAGACAGCAAGGCACCTTTTCCCCAGGCATCTCCAATCTTCAGAAGAAACAAAAGATGCTAAGATGTATCTTGAAGATTCCAATAGTTCATTTGATTCCACATCGACTTTAGGCAATTGAATTAATAACAGCAGTTATCTTTGTGATATAGAATTTTTCAGAGAAAACCAGAGAATTGGCAGGATTAACACTTAAGAGTAGTGTTAAACTCACTACCAATAACAATAACATATTTTAAAATTAGATGAACAGAGAGCTCTAATTTCAGGCAAACAGAAGTTAGCCTATCCTTGTTGAATTCGGAGCCTACGATTCACCATTCTAATGTTTGCCAGTGATAACTTCTCTTAAGACTCAAAATCTAGGGTCTCTCTGGTGGTACAGGCGTTAAAGTCCTAGTGTTTAACAAGCATCTCTGGCCACAGGGGCATGATGATTTCAATCCCAACGCTGGCCTGGAGCTGACCCACATGGCAGAGCAGACATCTCTGCCTTGTCCACTGCTCCCTTAGCAGTTTATCTGCTCCCCAGTAATCTGCTTTCTATGCTGTCTCTGGTGAATCCTCTCACCCCTGGCACCTCTGGCCTACACCCCAGTTCTTGCATGCATAAATAACTCTTAAAAAGACAAACTCTAGGCCATCCCTGGTGGTGCAGCGGGTTAAAGCACTGCACTAAGAAGCTTAAGCCATTTCTGCATGAGTTCAATCCCCGCCTGCCCCAGAGAAGATCCACATGGTGTGGCAGACCTCTCCTGACCTGCCCGCTGCTCCCCTCAGCAGTGTACTTCGTAGATCTGCCTGTTCTGCTCCCCACTCTATCTTTGGTGAATCCTCTCACCCACTGCATCTCTGGCTTGTACCCAGTTCTGAATAGTAAATAAATAAATCTTTAAAAAAAAAAAAAAAAACCTCTAAAACTAAAGAGAATCTATAATTTTCATATCCCATTGCCTGCTTAAGTAAACAAATTCATAATCAACTATGCAATACAATGTTGGCTATTGGAAATAAATATGACTCCTTTTTGAGTGTCTAATTACTCGACAGATTTTAGTTCATTCATCGAGTTTTATAGTTTGCTTTCTCCTATCCCCATCCTTTGTAGCTCCTTGTGTCTTGCCCTCCTCCCTTCCCTTTAACCTCAGAGCACTCAGGGTGTTTACTGGTGTCCACCAGTTGTTAAGTGTTTTAGATTTTTATATTATCTGACATATTCGTTTTTATCATAATGATTTCTTGTGCTATACATAGTTCTCTCAAATCCCTTCATCTTATTGAAAATAGCTACCGTTACCCTTTCTTAGGGTTACATAAACACCAAGATGTGGCTTTACCACATCTTCTCCATCTACTTGTCCACTGTTAGACATTTAGGCCGAATCTATGCCCTGGCATTGTAACTAATGCTGCTGTGAACCTTGTGGAATATCTGGGATTTTTATTAATGATTTCATGTTATGTGGACTTGCTGGGTCATGCAGTGCTTCCACGTCTAGATTTTTAGGGAAGTGTAGATGGCCGTTAGTGGCTGTACCACTTTACATTTCCAACAATATAACAGGATTCCTTTTCCTCTGCACCTTCTCCAACACCTGTTGGAGGTCTTTTTAATGTTTGCCATTCTCAGGGGTATAAAATAGTGTCTCATGTGGTTTAACCTGCATTTAACATGGAAGGTTTGGCCTTCTGGATATGTGCTTTTTCTTAGAACACTAATTTCACTCAAAAATTGTGTTTGAATCCTGGATCCATCTTTTATTAGTTATGTGACCCACAAGTATATCAGTTAACCTCTGCAGATCATCCACTTTCTCTTCTAGGGGAATCCTCAGGTTCTAAGGATTAATGAGATCTTTCATGCAAAAGTACTGTTTTCTTCTACATAGTGTGTAAGGTATTACAGTGATTATTATTATTGCTATATCTGCCCACACTTTTCTGTACCTCAGTTTGGGCAGGGTTAAAGTGAGAAATTAACTGCTCCATTTTCCATCAGCTTTATTACACATATTAGTTTTAAATTCCTTTTCTAGCTGCAACACTATATATATGCTTCTGGGATCTCCTTATAGTAGCTTATATCGTTCTGGACAACAAGAAAGGGCAGTGTATTTTAAGACACCATCTTGGCTGTGGGGTTACTTCTACCCACACTTCTGTATAATATCTAAGCAATTATGATGCTCGCTGTTATCCAGATGTTGGTATTTTAATATACCAAACATGATGGGTGTCTTTTTTTCTAAACTAATGAGACATCGAGTAACAAACACAATCTTAACGTTTTCAGGCCAGTGAGAAAAATGGCTTGTCTGTAACAGGAAGATACACATGTAGGTAAATAAGTTCTCTTGACAGAGTTCTGCTGCTTATTTTCAAATAAGGTAAACAGACAATCGCTGTGGGTCTTCCCCCCACACACACACACTGCCCCCTCCAGCCCCACTTCCCCACACACACACCCCAAGTAGATTTTCTCAGGGAGCTGCTTATCTAACATCTTGTTCTTCTCCATTTGCATCCCAGATCTTCCACAGTAGGAAAATGTCCTGCATTTCCAGAAGGTGTTAAAAAGCCTATTGGGTAACCACTTGAATACTGGAATCCCAGAAACTGAAAGGGTATTTTCATTCATTTTTGGCAAAGAAAAACATTATCCACAAAGTAAAAAACCAAAACAGCACCTATTAGAAAAAGCATAAGAACTAGTGATAGTTACTAGTTAAATGAACTTATAGTTTACAGAACATTGGAACTGTTGCAATATAAAAATTCTTTCATTTATAATTTCTAAATGTGTTTTAAAAAAAAATCACAACACAGAAGAAAAGATTCTCTTCCAGTTCCTTTTCAAATCCTTTTCAAATAAGTTGTAGAGTTTTCATGAGGGGATGTGTTCTTGAGAGTTTTTGTAAACTCAAATTTGAATAAGAGGCAACTTTGCAGCTGTCATGTTAGGCTGATAATAGTTGCATGTATGAAGAAGGCGACAATGAGACCAGGGATCAGGGAATTCCTTATGTCCCCAAAAAAGTAAAGCTAGTCATCCTTCACTATTAGTGACATACTTTTCCCAGAGCCAGTCTAAAATCAGAAAATTAGGGAGGGGGTTTCCTCCTCATCCCCCCGGAAATTTACTCTGGCCAAATTGTTAGACCATTAAATGAGGGGACAAAAACTCAGTTTCACAAGAGATGCTGTGCAACACAGCTATTAAAAACCACTTCTCTGCTTTGGTGTAATCTCACAATGTTTCCAGAGACGAAAAGCTACTCTAAGTAGATATTTATGCAGAGGACACAGCACTCTGCTCACCTGGGACTCGTACTGTCTTCTCGTAGAAATATATGTAACACGTGCCATGTTTTCTGTGCAAGGTTCTTAAGTATCTGATAGAAATACTGTTTTCCTTAGAGAAAGGATTTGCTTGGTTCCTAAGTGAAGCTAACGTGTTTCCTTTTGTACATTTTGGAGTCAGTGTTTGTTCATATGAGGTTCCTTTCTAAACAGGACTGGGACACAGCTTAGATTCTTGCGTCAATGCAAAGTGCTCTACCTGTATTTTTATTTTACTTAGAAAAGAACTCCTAGCTTTAGTCTGTCTGTGGGTCTGCCTGCAAAAGATGCATAATAGTTACATGAAAGCTCGTTGGTGCTCTGCCATAGAGTACCAGATTGTCCCATTGGGGCCCCAAAATTAATCAAGAAATGTAGCGATTAAAAAGTGGTTACATGGATTGGTTTTTTGTTTTGTTTTATATTGTTCTGGGTTTTGGTTCAAAACATACCTAGACATGAAGAAAACCAGAAGGCCATTATGTGATTATCCACATTTCCACAGTGAATATTAACCATGTTCACTTTTAACAACTTTTTAACAACTGCAGTGAAAGCTGAGAAAACTTCCAATTGCAAATAAAGTTGCAGGCTTAAAACCTAACCATCTTTAAAATTTAAGAGGCTTCCAAAGAAACAAACAAACAAACAAATCCTTTTCGCCTTTAGATTTTGCCTACTAATATCATTTTAAAATCTAATATTTTTTTAAGTACCCATGAAAAATTACCTACTTTCTTTAAGACCAATTGTTTTGATCTCTGAGGAAGCAATAAACAATCTAATCTACCTTTGAGGGTAATGGGTGGAAGGATGCTTAACAATGAGGAACTCTAAATGGGGATTAAAGCCACAAAGAATTCAGAAGAAAAAAACTCCTAAGTCAGAGGAGTAAACCTTTTACCAAGGGACCTTGAGAATTGGATAGTTTATATTAAGCAAAGAACATTTTTGCCTTTGCAGTTTACAGAGGGATAAAATTGCATATTTCACTGTTTTAAAAAAGTACAATACTTTTGGGTTGCTATGAATTAAGTATAAGCACCTTCTGAACACCTTCCTTCCCATTGCAATTCTTGGAGAAATTTTCAAGCAAACTGACAGCGACTTGTTTTTTGTGGTACCCCCTACCACCACCCATCACCTGTCCTTTGTTATTTCAAGTGCTGTAGCTTCCCACCCTGTTGGCCTTCCGCAGCAAAACAGCGCAGCTCAGCACTGCTGGCCCTGGTATTGCAGTGCATGCTCTTACACGCGCTTTCGACATATCTTACAACGCATTGACACCATTTATTTACCTGGCCTCCCTTAGGAACACCAGAGCATTCCTTATTTAATCTAGAACTTTAAGAATGCCTTGAAAGAGGTGGGGGAGGTGGCCAGGAAGAAGATCCCTGCTCCCCGGGGAGAGAAGTGGTGAGGGGTGAGAGGGGATGCAGGTGCAACACGCCATACCTTATCGGCCTGGGGGCTGATGGGCGCGCCAAATCTGCAGTAGGTCACGAAGTGCTCGCAGTTGTTCCACAATAGGCTGTAGGAAGTGAAGCCCAGCAGCTTCTCTGCCCGCCGCGCCACCTCTTCGTTGAGCAGCGCCTTTTTCTTGAGAGACTTGTCCAGGTGATTGACCAGGATTTCGGCTCCGTAGGCAAAGTCCTCCACTGTATCCACGCGGATACTGGCCACCCTGCCAATGACACCCAGGATGAGACGCTTGTTAGAGACCACCTTCTGCGTGAGCTCCTTGTCGTCGGTCAAGGCCAACAGGATGTCGGGCATCATGTGGGCGACACGGTTGTCTCCCAGGTAGATGCCATAATGGGTCAGGTGGGTCCGGGGCACCTCCAGCACGTCCCCGCGGAGGAAAGAGCTGATCTCATACAAATTCTTCCTCGCCTTTTCTTCCCCCGGGACGCCGGAACTGAAGAGCTTGAAGCTGGAGATGAAGAGTAGCTTCTCCAGCAGTAGAGACACCGCCTCCAGCATTGGAGTCTTCATCCTGCAGGCAAAAGGCAGCCTTGGGGGGACCACCGCTACTCTGGCACGGGCCGGACCAGCAGAACTCGCCGGACTGGGGCGCTGCGCTGTCGCTCACCTGCTGGTCAGCGGCCCAGTGCCGCGGCTGCAGACAGAGAGAGGAGAGAAGGAGAGGGAAAGGAAGCGGGAGAAGTCTGGGGCTTGGCCCAGCCGCTGCGCCCTGGAAAGTGAGGAGGACAAGGGACTGGCGGCCGCTGACTGCAAGGACAGTGGGGCCCGAGCAGCCTCGGGTAGGCAAAGGGCGCACCTGGGGGCCGCGCCGGGGCCAGGGCCGCGCGAGGTGCTGGGTGCACCGCCTTCGCGGGGGCCTTTTATCGCCGTCGAGGGGGCGGGCCGAACGCCGTCACAGACCCGGCGGGAGCGCTCATTGGCCAGCGGCGGGCAACCCCACTCGCGGTGTCCAGCGCGCGGCCCCGCTGGCTCTTTAGAACCCGACGGGCCACCGCCGGCTCCCGGACTCTGCCTGGTGACGCCTCCCCAGCCCGAATTCCCTCCAACCTATAAGCCTTGTTAATTCCGGCCTTTAAGTGGCCGATTGGGGGAAGTAGAGACTCGAGGCACGGACACACCACGGATCCTGCACCTGTCTGGCCGACACTGGGAGCTTGGTTTTGGTTTATTCCGGGAATAAGTCCCCTCGGGGGAGATCTCTAAGCAGAGCCACCTCCCTCTAAAAGGCTGGCTAGTTGAAGAACCGGGCTTACTAGCGTGTATTTACTCTGCGAAATGCGCGTGCGGGGAAAACTCGCGCATTCCTACTTACTTGCCGTGGAGGTGTGTCCCCAGCGCGTCGCAGGTTCCCCAGCGCCGTAAATGCCAGGGAAACCCCCTGCGTTCGGCGAGGGCGTGAATCGAGTTGGCGAGCGCGCGGATAAGGTGGCGATCGGGCTTCCTGGCCCCGCGAGCGGGCGCCCCGAGCCCGAGGCGCCTCGGAGACAGCAGAGACCGTTGAGTGCTCCGCGCTCAACGGTCATCGTGGAAAACGGCAAAACGCCCAACGTCCGACTGAAAAGTCGGGTTTTTCTCTGGCTGATCAGTAACGCTGATACAGCGTCGGCTCGCCCTCGGGCCGAAACTTGGTAGCTTTCTTTTAAAGCGCATCCTAGAGGCGACCGCGGGGGAAGGAGATGCTGCGTTCCTCTCCCGAGCGCCTGCAGTGTGGCCGGGGTGCCTGGCCAGGGAGGTGCAGGGAGAGTAGCTGAAAGCCGGAGTCGCTGTCCGCTAGCGCCTGGTCGCGAGTCGGCGCGCGGAGCGACGACCCTGCAGAGTTCCGTGCTGTGCAGTGTGTAAATGCTTACATTCCGAGGACAAAGCCCACAGTGGAGAGCACTTTGTGCTGCACAAAGCCGCCCAGTTCAGGCCTAATAGGGTTCATCGACGAGCAAATGCTCCGCTCGCCTGCCAGAGGGTGCTCACTGCGGATGATGAATGAAGAGACATTCGTCATACCTGGAAGATGGAGGGGACCATGGAGATAGGGCGAACAGGCGGTCGCGCCCCATTATCCTAGGAGGCCCGGAATTCGCTCCCACCCGGGGTCTGCCGTCGGCGCTCTGGCCGCGTCGTCTCCCTTGTCGGTGACTTTTGTTCATTTCACAAATGATCCTGAATCACGTAAGTCCAACAAAGAAAAGAAAGCTCCATTTCACACAAACGAGTATAAGGAGGAAGGTGGGGAAGAGGTGAAAGGCAGTGCAGGTGGGCATTTTTTAAAAAAATTAGTTTTCCAGTTTCCAAAGTTTAAAATCACAGAGCTCAAGAGTTGCTGAAACGAATCAAAACACCGCCGCACCCGGGCGCTCGTTGGCGCCGAGCGCGCGCTGGTCAGGCACACCTCTCGAAAACCTGGAGTCTGTGGCAATGTTTAAAAACCGAATCCAGACCTCCGCGTCCATATGAACTGCAGGTCGCACGCTGCTTCTGGAGGCACTAGTCGGGTCCCGCCTTGGGAAGCCCCGAGCGGCACAGCCAAACGGCCCAGGGAGATCAAAGGGGGCTTGGTAATTTGCGATTTCCGTCTCTCGAGGCCACTAACGGGCTTTTAACGCCTACGACTGTCTCCACCCAGAGAATTTGCGGGAGACAAAAGCTGGGTGAACTAATTGCCTCCCGGCTCCACCGAGAACTCTTGGAGAAAAAAAAATAAATAAAAGAGGCGTCACCTATAGACCCCCAAGAGCAGTTAGATCTGAGTGGCATTTGTGAGCCGCTGCACAGCTGATTGGCGGTTGGCTTTTACTTCCCGGTGGGGTTAGTTTCCAGTGACTCGAAAGTGAGTCACTCCAGAAAGATGAGGTCGATGTGATGCGTGTAGCCGCTGCACATGCTTCCAAATCTTTGGAAATGAATGGGGGGTTGGGGTGGGGGGGCGGGTTGTCTGTAGTTCACGGAAGATTACTTTTGTTTGCCTCAAAAAACTCCCGATTTAGAAGGCGGAATGTTATGCCTTCAAATAACTTTCTCAGCGAAACTTCCCCGAAAGCAGCCCTGTCTTCTCCTCCTGTGCCTGCTGGAAATTCCGTGTCTCGAAGCCCGGCAGACCCGTGGAACAAGCACTTTTAAACTTGCTTCTGAAGTCTCCAGACCCCTGGCCCAGGAGATCAGGGATGATTAGGTTGCTTTTAAAACAGAAAGTACAGCATCAGGTGAGTTCACCTTGCAGAAGGCAACTTCTCAACCTTGTGGTCATTGGACATATTTCTTTCTGTGTGTATTTGAGTGATCATTTTTCGATGGATCCCTAGCCTTTTTCCTTATCAATACTCCTACACTTACAGGTTCACAGGTTCCCACTAATATTGCACTTTCCAGCCTGCCCCAAATTAGCTAAACTAAGGGAAGCAATTGCTCTTAGGAGAAAAGGCCAGAGAGAGAGAAAGCTAGTGTTAGAAAGTTCTCCTAAAGCAGACAACCTCACTTGGGGAGTCCCCTGGAGTTGCTAGAAAGTTCTGTTTCCCAGAGTGTAAGAAAAGTGGTCACAGTGAACAAGTGTTGATATGCAAATCCTTAAATTTCAGAAATGGGCGGCAGGTCTGGTCCAGTGGTCTGAAAGAGCCCAGGCTTTCCTGATGAAATAGGAGGACGCCCACCTGTGGATCTGCAGCCACTCAGAACCCTCCCACCTGGCGTAGGTGGGCTCATGGCCTCTTCTCCCAACTGCACAAGCCAAGCCAAGACTCCCTATCTCTGTCAAAGGGGGCTGAAATTAGGGCTCATTGAGCCCATCAAACTTCCAGGCTTGAGTTTCGTGATCTCATCATGGGTGCCAGGACAAAGACGTCCCTCTCAGGGACAAGGTGCCCTGTCCAGCAGGGAAGTCTGGAAGTTTGATGGGTTCAGTGCCTAACCTGCAGGCCTTATACCTTTGAAGGCAGGCACGTCTCTGGAGTGGGGGATATGATTGCATGGGTAAGATTACCAGCAATAGCTTGTACTAGGAAGGGAACTAAGCAAGTTCCTCACACTCAGCCTGTGGGGTAACATCTCTGTTCTGCATACAAAGAACCTAAAGCTGTCTCAGTGGTGGATCAGGACTCAACCACCAGTTTGTTTGCCACCATTAGGGAAAACCTGATACCTGCTTTGTGCTGTCCCCAGCCCTGAAAGTTCAGTCTTCTAGACTGCATGCCCTTCTTTTTAATTTGGACTTCACTCCCCTGCTTCTCCTAGTGCCTCGAGGTCCAACCTTAAACATCAGCTATCTACTGAAATGGGGAGAAAGGTCTGGTTAGTCTAGCCAGTACCCCGTCCAGAAGGCCCACACAGTCCATGGACGGAACCCCATTTCCTCTGCACACCCTGGATCTGGGGCCGCAGCCCGAGGGCACAGAGCTAGGCTGGTCCCAGACTTCTTAGATCTCTTTACTGAGCCCTAATCTGATGAATTCGGCTTCCTAACCTTCATGATTATTAAATCATTGGGCAGGTAAATAATGATGTTTTTCTTCTGAGCTACCTTCTCAGCCCTGGACCTCCAGACAGGAAATACTCTTACTGGCTAGCTTTAGGAGGTAGGGAGAATAAAGACCTTTGTAAAATTCCCTCTAGAAACAGGAAAAAGAGCAGACACCTTTTCTGTGTGCTTCCTAACTCAGAGCTACCTGGGATGTTCAGCTCATAGGAATCACTCACTTCCTGGGAGGAAGATTTGCCTGCCTGCCTTACTGGTGGCTAGCACCTTAGGGTGTGGCCTCCTCAGTCCCCCCAGTGGTCTTCAGAAAGATGAAAGGGACTGAGTAGTTTCAGCCGGCCAGGACTGAGGAGGTTTCCTTGCCGACTGTAAAATAAGAACATGGAGCAAAACAAAGCATTCACACTTAGTGAGTGTGAAGACTCGTGCAAATGTCCTGTAGCTTCTTACAAATGAGTCACAGGTTGAGGCAGCTGTGCTATAGAGAGAGGAGGGACAGCGCCCCTGGTGTAGTGGTATCATGCAAGACTATAGGTGGAGGAGGTAGAAAACCTGGGAGTCTAAGGCCTTCCTGTGCCCTCCCCAGCAAAATGAACTCGACACATCTTTTACCACCATGGACCCTAAGTTGTGTCCAAGATGGGACCACTATTTCAGAAGGTGGTGAGGAGACTAGGCACATCTGTATTCAAAATGTGATGCAGCCGCCCTCCTGCATTACCCTTTGGGGTAACCCAGTATAGTAGGTTCCCTTCTGCTCTGACGGTCGTCACCAGGAAGGCAGAGTAGACAGAGATCTGCTTTTACTCACAGACTCCTGATGACTCAGCCTGAGCCACAAGGGTGAGCCCAAAGGAACCCCCAAGTGTCTGGGGCTGGGAGCAACCTCGGAGGCCAGTCAGGAAGCAGCTGCACAGGGAATCACACTGGGGTTTGGAAGCTTTCCCAGAGCTCTGCTGCGCAGGTTGTTTGGTGACGCCAGGAGACCCTGACATTTGCCTGAAAAGCTCTCTGACAAGGTGTAATCCAGTACCCTCCCCCACCCCTGTTCATCTTGAAGACAATAAAATGATCTAAAAGCAAGAAATGAGTAGGAACGTGAGATGCCCACATGAGTGGCACATGTCACTTGAAAATACAAATAATAAAAGGCAAGTATTTAGGAACATAGAGAGCTAAATAAAACCTTGCACCTTTGTTTCCTTTTATTTCTAATTTCTCATTCCAAGGCAATCTGTTCCTAACTAGGTGCCTCGAGTTTGCTAACAAAGTAAACATTCAAAAGACAATTACAATAGCAAGGAATGCATATAAGAAAGGGACAGAGAAGTCAGGTATTACTGTTCCCCAAACAGGATCGCCACCACCAGCCATGCTAAGTACCAAGAACAGGGGTAAGTGCCATCATCTGTTGTATTTCAAAGATTCTACACAGTTGAAAGATTCTTCCCCACCCCAATTATATGAACAGTGAGGTTGATTAAAGCATTACTGACTAAAAACAAGACTATCTCAGGAAAAAAAAAAAAAAACAACAGTTATTTGGTGTAGCCACTTACATTATTATGTGTTGTAGAAAAAGCTAAATATTTTGAGCAGTGGTGTCATGAGAAGTTACATCTTATTGATGTGTAAATGCTCTGGTATAGATGACATTTTGTTGACACAGCACTACAGTGAAATATAAAAATAAAAATATAAAGTCATTAAAAAAATCCCAAAACCAACAATAAATGCATAGCCATCCTGCAGATCTAATGGCAGGTAACTCAATCAGAACTTTCTTCGTATCAGGCTTAGCCACAGATACTCAGACCTGCTGATACCCAGACCTTGACAGGCCTAGTGGATCTCATCCCAAAAGTGTCCTGAGCTCGATTAGAATTAAACCCCTCCAAAGGGGAACAGTTCAGGGGCCCATGAAAATCAAATTACTCAGGCCCTTCATAGTCTTGTCTTGTTCTTGATGAATTTGCAGAGAATAATCATCAAAAAAGACAGTTCATTGTGCAGTAATTTAAAAAGCTCTATCGGAACCACAATATCCACTTAAAAAATGCAATGCCTCATTGAATTAAAAAAAAAATCACTTGTATTTCAGTGAAGCAGTAATTACATAAGGAGAAAATGAGCCAGAGCTTGGAGCAGTTGGTCTAAAGCTGTGCTGCTCTAGACCACGGTATACTGAAATTTTAAATGATGTAGACACTGCAGGACCCATATTGTGTAACAATATGTATGATTGATATATTTTTTTTAAAGAATAACTTTAATATTGAAGTTAATTGAAAGGCTGCAAGTGTATCATCCTGCTGTTGTCGTAATTACGTCTACTCTTTTCCCAGGCATGCTAACACAAAATCCAAAGAAGGTGAGCTCAGGCTGACTCAGACCTAAATGGCTCAATCCACCTGTGGGCCTCTCTGGTCCGCGTGCTGTCCGGTCCTTATGGCCACGCATTCAGCCTTGGCTACCAGCTTTCGGGCTCTCTGGTGGCAGACAAGAAAGCAGGTCACAAAGCCCAGGCTGGGGCCAGGACAGCAGCAGGGTCCAGCACTAGTGCCCGCCCCTCCCCCCACCAGGCTCAGGGGCCTGTGTACTGCGAGTGGCCAGTCACTGGCCACTGGAAAAGCCCCCTGGAGAAGCCCTGCTAGCTTTTATGTGGTTTCCAGAGGCCGGCACAGGGTCAAGTTTGCTGTGGCTCCCAAAGTATGTTCCCGCGTGGGAATTACAAAGTTTACTCACTTACTGCTCTTTGCACAAGCTGAGAACATGGCAAGGCCACATGTCCTCTGCACACGAGGCCACCTGTATCGGAAGTCACAGCAAAAAGCAGCTTGAGA